CAAACCGTTTGACGACTTCGCTACTGATTTCGGAATTAAAAATGCAGTATCCCGGATTACGGAATATTATTCGAGAATCTAGAAGATAATACACCGGATTCACGAATACACATATTCCTAATTCCAGAATATTATATACCACATTCGAGGATATTTTTTTCCGCGAAAGATTTCACGTCTGACATGATCCGTTCCCACATCACTAGAAATAGAATTATCGGGGGAAGTTGTTTCAAATGAATATATTTTCTTTCTATAACTACTGCGGATAGTTTCCATAACTTTCCATCCAATGATGAATGAAATGGAGTGAAAAGTGATCGTATATATTACGATTGTCCGAGAACGTTAAGTCTCTGGATCACGAGTGATGGTACACGGGGTCTCGAACATCTATAACGTATCTACAGTCACAGTTTACTATGGTATATGGTGAAGCATATAGAGAGCATTGAGTACAGTGGCAAGAGAGGGAGAGGGCACAAAACGGGGGTGGAGTGATTGATGAGACGCCCGGCCACGGTCTCATTACAGTTATATAAGCTTCCGTAGATTGAGCCATGCAGAGGCTTACCGAGCGTGTGGCGAACAGAGGGGGCAGGTCGTGATTTGATGAGGTTTTATTGCTCGCATGATACCGCAGGAGGTCGTTTTGTTTCTGTGGCTTTTCCGAAATCTCAATGACAAATGTTTTCAATTTTTATTGCCATTTTTTTTATACCAAATTTTTCATTGTAATTTTTTTTGGAAAGTTCAATTTAATCATCTGCTTCATTCGACAAAACAACATTCAATTCATTCCTCAATGTAATCATCTCCTAGGTACGAATTTTTTATGAATTCATGAAAGTTGAAAATTTCTCGACTGGAGATTATATTAGGTTGAAAAAATAGAACTTTTATATTTTTGTGGTGAATGCATGTGACTTGACGCCAAGGAGGGTTTCATTTGATTCAAGTAAATGTACACGGAGAGAAATATTCAATATTACCAGAGAAAAGACGTAAAAATTACGTTTCGAAACGTAATTTGGGAGCGAAGTAAAATTCAATAAAAAGTGTCAATCGTCACGTAAATTCTACGATCTGTTCCGTAAAAATTACTCATCCGTCCGACTCCTCACGGCTACCCATGAGTCACCGTGAGGGGGAGATTTTAACAACACGTTCCGTAATTTTTTCGGAACTTTTCGTAAAAATTCTTAAACATCCAAGAATTTTCATGTTCTGAGGCATAATAAGTCTTGAAGTTTCTGTTAGATTTTACAACTTCCAGAAAAATTACGTGACTTTTTCGTATTTTTTCGGTGACAGACCCGAAAATTTACTGAACGTTTCAGATTTATTCTCTTATATTCCTATAGAAATTCACTGAAAACGATTCTCGCTTGCGGATTACGTGAAATGTTCCGTAATTTTTCTTGAATATTTCTCTCCGTGTATCTCAAGAAGAAATAGTTGATATTCACCGTAATCTCTCATTTATTTGAAATTGGTTCAAGTACATAATACTTGTTCCAAGAAAGGACCATCTCAGTGAAAATAATTTTTTCCATCAGTGTCAATTAAGACCCATTTTCTCTTGGGATCTTCCTCGTGGAATTCATAGTTTGTGGGTTCTTCGAACCACACCACTGACAGCCATAAATAATCAATTGGACCAGCAGAATTATTTATGATCTTCAAACAAATTCCGAATCCAATCACTCTATGAATATTCCCTTCATGATGAGACACAAATAACGAGATAAACAATGAACAAATAAACTTCGGGCTTACAACTCGTAAAAAAAGGTAAAAATAAGTCCCGGGGATCAAATTTTCTTGTTTTCCCAAAGCTTACAGGCATTACCCAGATATTCGAAAGTTCATTCATCAAGTTTACTACTTACGGACGGCTATCGTGAGATTTTGCGATGCCGTTAAAGTTTATGGGCGCGGCCCTCTCTCGCGTGTACAAGCCCTCTAGCCCAAAGCCTTCCACTGCGCTCCATATACCTTCTCTCTCGTACGCTCGGGTTTATTGATTCTCGAGTCTGCGACCAACAGCATCTTCCTCCACCTCTGTATTGCCATTTTATACACACGCGTATTAGTGTTAACATTTTCAGAGGTCAAAGGAGAGAAAAAAAACATGAAAATACTCATTCATTTTTTATTTTTATAAAACGATTTTTTGCTAGCAAAGTTGCATTCGACCATCCTACGATGAGAGCCTTCAACCGTGACATTACATTTATTTTCAAAGTGATATCGGATTCATTCAAGTGAAAAGAAATACCTATTGTAATAGGAAGGCGATTTATTTAATTGAAATAAATGGGCCGGTTTATTTAGGTTGACAGGAATCTGCTATTCAATCCGAACGATGACTCTGATTTTTAGGGTCACATTGCGAGTAGGAACCAAATTGTTCTTACGTCGATGTGACATTTATTGCAACTTGTCTCACCCGCACGGAGAAAAAAGTTGAATAAAACGTACACTGTTAGAAATTTTTTGAAATTTAAGTAACAGATGCATTTGAATTTTCAATATTCTGAACTTGAATTCAATTTCAGACTGAATTGCACTGATAGAATGATTCATTTATTCCAAACGAGATTCGTTAATTATTAACGAATGGTAGAGTTGAATATGACCAAATGAATATTCGTTAATAGTTAACGAACGGTTCACTTGAATGGCGAAAGTCAAGTCAAACAAGGCTCCTCAAATACACATTTGTTAACTATTAACGAATGAACATTTGGTGAGACCGAATAGACCCTAACTTCCAACCAAAATCCATTCGTTAACAATAACTAATCCGTTCTATCAGTGTGCTCATGGAATTTATGTTTCATCTTGGAAATTCAATAAAATTAAGTTTTTCATTATGAATGATCATTGAATTTTCAATGACGACTTGAATTTTCAAACCGATCCCAAAAATTAAGCAACAAATTGAAAATTCAGGAGAAAAGTTGCCGGAATTTTCAGGATTTTCAGTTATTTTCATTGCCGTATGAACCGGAGAAATGAAACTTCATTGAAAATTCAATAACATCGACTGATTTGTCAATAACAAAATCAATGGAAATTCCATGTAGATTATTCGTTGTTAAAAATTTCAAGATTTTTCACTTGAAATTTCAAGAGTAATTTTCTAACAGTGTCCTAGAAAATCATGGCAAGTCGGGGGTATGGCCGAGTCAGTACACGGAGAGAAATTTTCTAGAAAAATTCTCGTATGAGTATTGGAAAAAATCCCAATCCAGCGGCGGTGAAAAATTCTAGTGCTGTTAAGGTAAAATTTCTGGGGATTTCTGTGAAATTTGCACACAGGATGAATGATTATGCAATGATTATGCAATACATGATGATGGTGATACATGGTGAATGATTATGCAATACATTGAGCAATCATTCGCCAAACAAAAGACACACTGGAATTCAGCAGCGAAATGGTAAAACGGTACAAGTCAATTTTGACTATTGACCAGTTTTCATCTCAATATGTCGGAATCTAAGGGAGAATTAGATTTAAAATAGCAAAATTTTTGTTATAACTTTTTTTCTAGAGCCGATTAAGAGCTACAACAAATGTAATTACAAAAATTTTCTACCTCCCTTAGATTCGCAAATATTCCTCAAAAACACAACAGGGGGATAAGTCGACTTAAACCGGAGAGATTTCATGAATGTATGATTCTTATATTCATATCAATGTCACATATGTTGTAAAGGGACATCATTAAATTATAAGAGGGGAATATAAAAAAAACCAAATGTGTTATAAAAATAAATTCGGAATTTGAAATTTCGTGATTTTTCATTAATATTGCCGGAATAATTAAACTCCAATTTACAGGTTCCACGGCTTTTTCCATGACATTATGAATTTTCAAAGACAAAATTCCTTGCAATTTCAGTGGAAATCTTACTAGTTAGAAATTTCCAAGTCTTACCGGAAATTTCGCTGGAAAATTGTCAACACTAAACCCTAATTACCTCAATTGCAAGCACATTAAATTGATTATTTCAAGAACACATGCCCCCAAAATCTCGCGCATTACTCATCATTACCCGTCCCCCTCATTTTTCCCAATTCTACACTTTCAATGACTCGTCACGCCTCTTACCTTTTCCGCGGTGCGCTCCCACTGCCATCCATCTTGGTATATAGCCTCTCCCGCCCCTCATTCCTCACCGTTTTTCCTCATCCCTCCACCAAGAAAGCAGTCGCATATATCTATATCCCTGTCTCACGTCACGTCGTTTTGTGCCGGTGGTTGCCTCACAGTTTCACGAGACTCGACGTTGTATCCGTGCGCAACCACCCGTATAATTGTCGGGGAGGGTTTCCTCCACCAATGGGGAAAATAACCCGTAGAAGGGAAGTGGGAAAACGGCTGACGAGGTCGTACAGAATCATTCTCTCTTTCTCGTTGAACCTCAGGCGTATAACAACAGTATCGAGCGTTGGTTCTCTCTCGGCGCCGCCTTGAATTAACGCCGTCATATTTCAGAATGGAGGAGCGAAGAAGAGAGAGGGAATCGTTGTATATACGAGAGTAAAAGGGGTTCCCCTGGGCCATTTGTCTCAAGGAAAAGGGCCAAAGCTCAGCCTTATGCTTTTGCTTTGTACATGAGTTATAATATTTACGGTACATGAATCCAATGATTATGCGACATAATTTCATTGTCTCCGACTAGATAGCGAGGGTCACTAAATTGGTAAAAGTAGACAAGTTCGTCAGAACGATCGGATGAGTAGATCATTAAGGATCGTTATAGAAATTCTTCGGAAGCAAATTGCCAATTTATCATCAAAAATATATTGACGCTATTGTGACGAAAGCACCTCCCCACTTGTTTTTCACACGTCTGAGTCTCCCACTTACAAATCGGAGCTCTAAGATGCACAACACACACTGTCAATACGCTTTGGATTGTCCCGACCTAAAAAATCCCGCATGTTTCAAAACTAAACATAAACCGTCACCTTTCATCCACAGGTCTGGTTCAAGAACCGTCGAGCAAAATGGAGAAAGCGTGAGCGGAACGCAGCCAATGCCGCAGCAGCAGCGGCCGCGGACTTCAAAGCGGGTTTCGGTGCAGCAGGTCTGAACAGTTTCATAGGTCGTGCAGACGTGGACGCGATGTACAGCCCCTACAGTTCCTACAACAACTGGGCAGCCAAGGTCCCTTCCCCCCTGAACAGCAAACCCTTCAATTGGGCCCACCTCAGCACAGTTGTCCCAACAGCATCCCACCACCATCACCATCAGCTGGCAGGTGCCCAAGTGGCACCAGTCAACTGCTTCAACGCGTCCACCTCAGTCTCCAGTCACGTCAGTGGAATGTCGATGTCAGTCGGTCAAGCAGCCACATCAATGCTTCCTGGTATGGGTTCAGGTCTCGGAGTTGCTGGTTCACCAGTGGCAGCCTCGAGTGCAGCGTGTCCCTACGCAGCACCAACACCACCACATCCATACGGACCCCCAGTATACTCCCATCATCGTGCCACAGGACCCACCGAGCCCTGTTCAGTGATGAATAGTAGCTTAGCAACCTTACGTTTAAAGGCAAAACAACATACAAGTGAGTATGGCTCAGCAAGTTCATTCAGCACTGGTGGTACAACAGCAACCGGTGGTGGTAGCATAAGTCCGGTCAGCTCGAGAGCATCATCTGGTGGTGGTTTGAGTGCCTGTCAGTATGCATTAACAAACAGTACTAATCCCCATTCACCAGGACCCGAGCACAACCAAACGGCAAGGGCTCAAGTTTGAGGTGAGGCGGGGGCTGCGTCCAGCCCCCATCACTCGGTTAATAATAATACCACCACTGGAGGTTCCATAAGCCAGGTAACATCTAGCCAAAGTAACTGCAATTCTCAGGGTAATGAGGGGGTGAATCAGATGAGGACGAGCGAGTGACCCAGGCCAAGATCCGCTGCATCGCCAATGCTATCGTCAACACCATCGTCGACAACATCGCAGCCACACTATCTCATGTATGATGAGGAAAATAATGCGGCGGATCAGAAGGCTAATGAGGAGATTAGGATTATTGGGGGGAGCAGTGGCAATGCCAATGACTCGGCGGGCATTGGGGTGGGGGTGGGCATTGGAGTGGGGAGCAGTGCACCTGGGTCGGGGGGCAGGATTCCGGGATATTGGCAGCATGCTGCTACCTCGGCTGCTGGCTACTGGTCCTCTCTGTTTGATTCTTGGACGACAAATCCCATTGCCACTGGGTCACAGTCGCTCTCGCTCAGTTGGGATGAGAATCGGGGGTGAATACCGAATTAAGGGTTTAAATGGGAAGTATTGACCATGGTCAGAAGAAAGTTCAATCCGAGCTTAATTGTACACATTCACATTCACGCATTTTCTGCAAAAGAGAGCAGAGCACACTTTGCAATCCAAGTTTGTCCACATGAAAGATTGGCACATGAGTGAAAGAACACATATTTGATTGCTATACTACTTAAATGCACTACAACTTTTACACAATTGAATTCTGCGCTTGCGTTAAGTCTGCATAAAAGTATTGCACGCATAGTATTGTCAACTTATCGAACTCCTGAGGCCTAAATTAGTCATCGTCAAAGAAAAAGAATGGAAATTTCAGATTTGACGAATACAATGCTTCCGTTTGGAAGCAAGGAAGATCGGTGTGTTATTGAATCTACACATTGTAGAATTGAATCACTTATTCTATAATGTGGAGAACATGATTGTGCACTTAATGAGCGTGTCAGTTTCCATGTGTTGAAAGGCCCTGTGGAATTGGATACATACACAACTTTTAAAGGTTGACAATAGTATGTGTGCAGTACTTTTGCTCGGACTTAATGCAAGTGCACAATGCAATTATGCAAAATTTGTTGTGTATTTGAGGTGTGTGGCGATCAACCGTATGTACTTTCAGTGATGTGGCAATCTTTCATGTGGACAACTGGAGATAGACAAAATTCCCAAACACATTGCTGCGTGTGGAATTCAAAGCGGTGCTCTGCCCTCTTGTGGAGAAAATGCATGTGCTCAAGTAAATGTAGATATATTGGCCCAACATTTTTCTGGCCATGGTCAATACCACCGTTTAAATGATGAGTTTACGAGTGTCTTTGGGGATTTTTGCGAGTGATGATGGATGTAGATCATATGAGAGTGCTCATTTGGATCAATCGAACACGAATTTTCCATTATTGATTGTTTGAGGAAATTTTTTGAATGAATTTATAGGGGGAAATTGATTCAAATGACATTCTTCGTTTATTGTAAAATACTGATATTATAATTTGACCAAAGTTATCTGTGCAATAAAATGAAAATTTTCCAAAACCCCTTGAGACGAGAATGAAGGTGCGAGCGATGCACTCACGGCTCCTGTAGATATCTGTATAGTAGAGAATTTAAAATTACTACGAAAATCGTAATGAAAATTAACTCAAAGGATAAACCAATTGTAATATTCTAATGTCGATAATAAATGAATGAATTATTCAGCGGAATACCAAATAAAGAAATATTACTTGTAGGTAAAATGAAAATATGAATGAGAGTCTGAGATGATCAGTGAAACGATGGCGAAATTTGGCTACTCGTTTCAGTCTGCCATGTACAGTGTATGAGCAAGATTATATCGATCTAGATTATACGTTATAAATATTATTAACGAACTGTAGTGTTAAATGATATTCAGTATACCTAAATACAAGATAAATGATATTTCATGAGACCTCAAGACTATCATTAAAATCAGATAATATCAAATGAAACGAAAATATATGAATCATTAAAGAATAATTAATGTGAACTCTCGAGGTAAAATGAAATACTTTTATGACCCAAACATCATAGAATTGTATAGATTCTAAGGTAGATTAAGGAAACGACAGCTATTTTGTATGAATCCCGATGTCGTACAAATGTCAAAGTCGAAAAAAAAACAATTCCACATATCCCAAGAAGCAGAGCAGTGAATAGAGCAATAAAATTCACTGCTGTTCGTCATCTTCGATTCACTTATGTGTACGTTCCTTATTTGATGCCATTTGTGGGCCTGTGAGGAGCACAGTTTGTAATCTAGTCACAATAAAAATCAATTCTATTCTAAGAGAGTATTGTTCCTGTTCCTCAATTTCTCCCAGTCAAGAAGTGCCCTAAAAGCGGTATAAATTCAAAAACTTCCATTGAAAAAACTGCAAATCATTTTTTGTCATTCTGAACCTCGCCTTCGGCTCGGGCTGCAAACTCTTATTCGCCCGAAAAGTTTTTTTTTGCCTAATGACGAAATATATTATTGTTTAACTTTGCCAACGTTTCGAACTCTCCAGCGGCTCTTCATCAGGGCAATATTTATTCTGCACAAAAACTATATTGTTGCTTATTTCCCCTTTTCCCCCTCTCAGCCATCTTCATGAACGATCGTCTCTATCTTTCTCGTTATTCTTTTATGTTCGTTTGTAGTCCACGGATGGGTCACTCCTTTTGTATCTCTTTTTTTGTCCCAAAATCTTTAACCCTCCAGTGGTCGCGCTATGGTCTGAACACCGCCGTCTTTGGTATTTTCACGATATCTCTAGAAATGTGATGAATTACGCTCTGCCTATTTACCAGTTCCTCAAATGATATATCCTGGTGGGATTAAACACGGTAGGGTTGCCCTGCACTGACAATTTTTTTCTCAATTAATTTTTTTGTCGAGCGCGGTTAGCAAAAATGACCGCAGCGCTCACCGTGCGACCACTCTCGTAGTAGAAATTTGACGAGCGGTGTTGCCGACCCTCGTGGTAGTCCCAAGCAGCGTGTGCGGTGTGGGTGTCCCTGGCCGGTGATATGTTTATAGTGTCATATGGCTCTGGCAACGCTGCGCTCGAGAATGTACGGACGGCGCAGCGCTTACCACGCGACCAACGACGTTCGGCGAAGACGTGCGACTACAGGAGGGTTAATAAACAGTTATTTATTTATTAAATGTACCCGCTCTTTACAGTATATTCTTAACAACCGAAAAACAATATAAAACAGTCGTGCTATTGTTGAGTCTCTTTCACCATGCAGTTATTGTAAGTCATATTCCGACAAAATTATGTTCACGAAATAAATAAATGATTTAACATAAAATCGAACAGAATGAAAATACCTGAACGTCCATAAGATGTAAAGGACCACCAGAGTTTTGTCGTTAAAAATATTCCCGTAAAGTCTAACTGAGAGTATTTTTCATTAATTGAATTTTCATTGGATTTCCTATTCATTGACAAAACAAAGAGAGCCTGTAAACCAATGCAAATAGCAGATTAATCGATGACAACTGGGGGGCGAACCTCTGATGATGGTTTGAATAGCGATAACCTTGGAATTCTCATGCATAGTAAGGCTGTAACTTAGTGCACATTATGTTTAGGGTTTTTGGTGGGGTTGTGGGGGCAGGAGGCGATAAATTATGCACCCCTACTCGAAGTGGTCCACGAGGGGAGACGTTAGAGAGAATAACGTGGGTAACAACGCTAAACTAAACTTAACGTATATTACACTATCGTCGTACGTTAAGGTTATTCCCATTACGAGATATTACGGTCTACCGTGCTGGCTGCTTGGTGGAGGTGGGCGCTCTTGCAGATATCAGGAGGATAATGTGTGGCATCTTGTAGACTAAATTAGGATGATGAAGCATGAGATTTGTCATCTATGATTTTTTTTATCGTGAGAGGGATCCGTGAGTAATGGTTTTTTCTTACTGGAGTGCATTTTAGATTGACAAAAATTGCGACGAACAACGTGAAGGACTTGATGTTTTTCCACTCTTCGAGGCACTTGATTTTTATAGTTTTTATTGAAAAATCCAGAGCTTGATGGCGGAAATCGTATACCTAGGGAACAATTTTTACGGATGTCATTTAAAAGTGCCCAGTAAGACCGGTAAATATCCGGAAATTTACCGGTAAATTGTTAGCTGAGTAGTTAGAATGACTTTTCACTGTTTCCGTCATTAAACTGTTGAGTCTTCAACGGAAACTATCCAACCAAAAATTTTCAATGATTATTTCCCCCATCACCCTTACGAACAATAGAATCGCGGTATTCGACGTCCCGTGGACCAATCAGAAGCGAATTATATCGAGTATTTTCCGGGACTGGATTGTAGTCAATCACAGCGCAGTATTCGAGGTCACGATACTCTTGTTATCAAATTTTTTCGGAAATTCCACACTAGCTTCTGGAAATTGCATCTGATAATTGCATAGCAGCTCTGCATTTATTTCTAACCAATGGGATGTTTTGCTGGAAGAAGCCCTCGAATACTGCGCTCCGCTTCGCCAACATCCAGTCCCGGATAATTATCCACCGAATACCCCTCGACCTTCAAACTTAATCGCACTATTTCTCTCAAGCTTCCCTGAAAACAAATAAAAGTGTCAAGTTTTGCAGAAAATTTTTTTAACCTGCGAAACTTGACATATTCGTTTGTATGCAACGAAATTATCGGGAAATACCCGATCATTTTGAAGTTCTTTGGGTATTATAATCGAATAAAGAAATTTCACATTCACTACATACCGTTAAGTATACAGTAATTATTTCAATTTTCAATTGCAATTCAATAATTCCAGAAAAATTGGTAAAAATCAGAGAAATTTAGATGAATACATTCTTGAAATGATTAAAAGTTGAACGTTATTTGGTACTGAATATATTCATGTATTGATTGGAAATTCAAGTGTGTTAGGGAATTCTGTGAGTGTGAAAATCTAAACTTTCATCGAAATATCAATGCTCATTTAACCCAAAAAACTCAATTTTATTGAATTTTTGAGCTGAATAAAGATTTCATTAACTACTCGCTCTCAAATTGGATTCAATTTCACGACACTGAGAATTCAGATACAGCTGTTACTTGGATTTTAAAAAATTCCAACATTGCAAAAGAATGAGAAATTTCATCAAAAACATTAACGTTCATTTCTGCTCAGTGACTTTGTGTTTTCCGGAATATTCAATAATAGCAGTCAATGCACCATGAATA